TGGAGTAGCAATAAAATGCTCTTATGGTTGGGGGTCCCCAGAACATGAGGAATGCCGCAGCATCAGGAAGGCAGAAAACCACTGTTCTAGAGGTAGGAACTGAAGCAGAAAACGTGGAGGAATGCTGCTTATTTACTGGCTTGCTCAGTTATTTTAATACAACCCAGGCCTACCAGCCCAGGGATGTATCACCCACAGTGGGCTGGGCCCTTCCACATCAATTACCAATCAAGAAAATAGTGCACAGATATGCACTTAAGTCAAGCTGATGGAGGTAACTCTTCAGTGGAGGGGCCCTCTTCCCACGTGTGTCACATTGATAAACTATGACAAAGATGACATCAGAGCCTTGGTCTCTGCCTCTCAGCTGCCTGGTCACGTTGAGGTGAGCAGCTGGACTGAACCATGCATACCCTGTCATGATGTTCACTCTATCCCCTGAAACAACGGAGTCAAGCCACTGTGGACTTCAAATTCCTAAACCCTTACCTAAACCCAAAATAACATTTTCTGTTTCTAAGTCCTCCTGCCCCTGGTTACTATGTCATGACAGGAAACTAACATCAACAATCTCCCTATGCCCCTAAGCCTCAAAAAGTGTTTTGGGCATGGCAAATGAGAATATGTTGCTTGACTTTTTCACAGATATATCCTAGGACTGTGCTCTGGTTGAGCAGGAGGAGGTATATACAGAACACAATTGTCCTTCTGCTGCCAAGGACTGAACTTTGGTGATGGATGCATGAAGTTCACTAAATTATTCTACTCTTTGAGTATGATGGAAAATTCCCACTATTAAAAAGTCAATTTAAGGGGGCTGGAGAGATGGCTCAGCGGTTAAGAGCACTGGCTGTTCTTCCAGAGATCCTGAGTTCAATTCCCAGCAACCACATGGTGGCTCACAACAATCCATAATGAGATCTGGTGCCCTCTTCTGACCTGTAAGCATATATGTAGGCAGAACACTGTATACATAATAAATAAATAAATCTTAAAAAAAAAAAAGTCAATTTAAAGGCAACATAAATGTTCTAATGAAATACAACACAGGGAACAGATTGACTCACTTTTTATGCATCCTTACAAGAGTGATATTCGTGTCCTTGACTCCTAGGTCAAGGTAGTGATTTCCAAGGGTCTCTTGAGATGGTCAGGTCAGGCTCTGGCTCTGTCCTTCTAGGGCTCCCCTAACATCTCACCCTTATAACAAAATCAAAGTCCCTTACTTGAACTCAGCTCTCTGCTATTCCCTGGCCTCATTCCAGCAGGTCTGCATGGCTCATTACTGTCCCTGGTCCTCACATGTGGAGAGAGCCTTGGTGTTGGTACCATAGGTTTGCTATGGCTTCTGCTAAGAAGGTTCTCCTAGATACAAGGCTCATTCTCATTTTCCCCAGTAGTTACCATGAGAAGGAAACCTCTGACTTTTGTGTATTTTTGACAGAAAATAAAAATATCACATATTAAGTTATTAATTAATAGGTTTTTCAACTAACAGTTTGGGTCCAGGATTTGGGGGGCTGCATCTGGTGATGGCCTTCTTACTGGTAGTCCTGAGGCTGTGCAGGACACTGCATGGTAAAGCAAGGTTCATGTAAGAGTCCAAAGCAAACTGGTTTCTGTTGCACTTATTCTTAAATAGTCCATTAACCATTTACCAATAATTCATTTATCTCATGAGTAGGTTGCTCCATCCACGGGGGCAGAAACCTAATTCTTCATCTCTTAAAGTCCCACATTACTATTTTAGAGGATTAAATTCCAACAAGGGCTTCAGAGGGACCAACCACATTCAAATCATCCCTTCTTCTATACACATCTTCCCCATCTTTCTTCACTCTTACCTTCTCTGAGTTTCTTCACAGTACTAGTTATGACAGCACTCAGTGTGGTGATCTACTTAGAGTCTATCTGTAAAAGTAAGTTCCCAGGGAGTTTGCTCACTCCCAAATCCCTAACGCCGAGGACAGTGACTGCATTGTAGTACACGCATGCAGGTATTTATAGAATGAACATGTCAGCTTCTGAGCAAAGCTCACCCCCAGTTAACTCTCCTGCAATTGGAGAAGGAAACCTGCTCGTGAGGACCTCACTCTCAAAGCCTTTGAAGAAAGCTATGTGTATAGACTGACAGAGAATTAAATCAACTATAGCCAGGACAGAAGCTAGGCCCCAGGAAATCTTGGGAAAGAGATAGTATATGAACTCTTTCTTATCTCATAGTGGGAGTGACACTTCATACCTAGAGCCAGAAATGCTTGACAGGAATGGTCGCAACCTGACGGAGCAGTTGTCAAAGCCAGCAGCTGTTTCAACTATTTATTGTACTGATGAATTACATTTAAGAGAACTGCCAAGTTCAACACCAGTCTAGGGGTACATAGGGTGCAGTGGTGCACACCTTTAATCCCAGCACTCAGAAGGCAGAAGCAGAAGGATCTCTGTGAGTTTGAGGCCAGTCTGGTCTACAGATAGAGTTCCAGGACAGCAGTCAGGGCTACAGAGAAACTTTGTCTACAAACAAACAAACAAACAAAATGCCCCAACAAAACAAAGCCAGTAACAAATATCTCTGAGAACTATCATCCTTCATAATCTCAGAAATGCTTAGAAATCAGCTAGCTTCCTGGGCCCCTGTGTTACCAGGCTCCTGAGACAAACCTGGTGATAGGCCTGCTCTGATCACATGTGATCCTGTATCAGCAATGAAAGCCCCACTTCCAGCTGGAACCAGAAGACAGCTGTTTTTTTTTTTATTCCAACACACTTTCCTTTTTAAAAATTTCTAAATCCTAATGCTATGTAAGAAAGCAGAAATGGGGACTAAGGAGATGGTAAAGTACTTGAGCATGAGGTCCTGAGTTCAATCCCTAAAACCGATGTATTTAAAAAAACAAAACAAAACAAAAAAAAAAACAAAAAACCCTAAAGACCAGGTTTGGCAGCATATGCTTGTAACCTCAGTACTGGGAGGCAGAAACAGGAAGATCTCTAATGGGCTTCTTGCCTGGCCAGCCTGCTAGGGAAATTCTAGGCCAATGAGAGATCTTCTCTGAAAACATGGTGGACAGCTGATGGCACCCAAGGTTGATTTATGGCTTCCAAGCACATGTGCACCCACAAGAATGTGTACGTACACATGCACACACACGGAGATCATCTCTGAGGTCCTGTTCTCTGCATCTATCCTGCTAAGCTCTAAGTCTGTAAACTTGACACTGGATGAAGAGCAAATGAAAAATTTCTGTAAAAGCTCTTCTTTCTGGAGCATCACAGGAGGGCTAACCTGCAACAGTTTTCCTTTCTGGGGCATCACAGGAGGGCTAACCTGCAACAGCTGAGAATGAGCAAGCATGCCACACACTGAGCCATACAAGTGTTGTGGGCTAAAATGTTTGCTATTTCTGATGCTCAGTACCTTTCTTGTTGTAAGATCAGACTTTAGGAAGTTCCCAAGAAAGACATTCCAAACCAAGTACTTGGGAGGGGAACTAAATCTTCCAGCTGCTTATCAAAGAATGGACTATACTGGTTTGCTACAGCTGACTGAGTGGTTTCAACAGGAGACCTCTATTTTCTTAAGGTTCTGGAGATTGGCCGTCTACAATGGAGGTGTTACAAGTTGGTTCCTTCTACACACCTCTCTATGGCTAGTGGACAGACACCAGTGTTCCCACCTATTTTCCTGTGTGCTGATCTCCTACACTATTAAGGATGCCAATAATACTGCTAACCAAATAGCCTCATTTCAACTAAATTACCTGGAAGGATGAAATGGTGCTGGTGGGTAGGTGGAAGAGTCACAGCCAAGGCAGAACCCAGTATTAGTTTTTAGAGCTTTAATGGAGGGAAAGGGGGTTGAGGGTGGGGAGGAGCCAGGCCTGGCAGGGGAGGGAAGCATGGCAGAGAAGAGAGGAAACAGAAAAGAGGGTGGGGGGTCTGTGTTCAGCTTTTTAAGACTGCATGACCATGAGGTAGCACTCCTCGCGCCCCCCTTATGATGTAAGATGTTAGACCCAGCAGAGTGAGAGCAGGATCCTAACATTACTTCCTTATAGACTTAATGTCCAAATACAGTCACATTCTCAAGTGACTGATTCTGGGATGTGGACATATTTTTGTGAATGACATGATTTGGCCTATAACATATACAGGGTGTTTTTTCACAGTGACTTAAGTACTCATTAAGCTTAATGTATGTATTGAGAAATTAAATGCCAGAAGATAAGCCTGCATTATATGCATATAACAGCTAACCAGCTCTGCTTACCCTGGCCCTTTGGACTCATGCTTTATTTGTAGCATTTCGGATTTACTGGAAAGGTTCAAGTTGAAAAGGTGGGCCAGGCCGTGGTGCACGCCTTTTAATCTTAGCACTCAGGAGGAAGAGCCAGGCGGATCTCTGTGAGTTCGAGGCCAGCCTGGACAACAGAGTGAGTTCCAGGAAAGGCGCAAAGCTACACAGAGAAATCCTGTCTTGAAAAACAAAAAACAAAAAACAAAACAAAACAAAAGACAGCCAAACCCAGGTATTAGGGCAGTTTAATTCAGAAACGAAGCCAAGATCTATTATTCACCCAGTATTTTCTTTTTTTTTCTTTTTTTTTTTTTGAGAGAGGGGCTTACTAGGTAGTCTGGCTGGCTCCAAACTCAGAGAACCACCTGCCTCTGCCCCTGAGTGCTGGGACTAAAGGTGTATGTTACCATGCCCAGGCCACAGCACCATTCTCTGGAATAGCTGCTGACAACCCCTCGAAAGGCTGGTTATGCTTACTGTTTGTCCATGAGACACTAGATCCACCTGTAGGCTCCCATCATCAGTACGTCAGTCACCTGTCCCCGGGGAAACCCAGGTCTCTGCATGTCACTCAGACAAGAGAGGTGAGCTCCAAGCCTGCATTTCAACAAGCATCTATCTACCCACCCATTTCAGTCTGTGGCCTCTGCCCTGACCACAATGCCCTAGGCATCCACTCTTCACAGAATCGAAGTCACACTTGTCCAAGTTGCTAAACTGATTACATCTTTATTTTATAAACTGTGTAACCTGGTACATGAAAAACAAAATCTTTATCAGTCATAATTAATATCCTCATTTCCATTTGGTCAATCACTGAAAACCAGCCAAACCATTTAGCTATTAAAAAATAAAAAAAGCAGGAACTGAATTAACAATTAGGTTGGAACAGTAAGTTTTCTCCTTCAGTCGTCAAAGCAGCACCTGCTGAGGGATCGAAATGCAAACCTGACAGTGACACCCATTCCTTTTCTACAAAGACTGACCTCTACTCTCAAGTACAAAGACAAACGCGCATGCCTGTCTGGACTATCAGCAAACAAGCACACAAGTTGAAAAAGCAAGAGCACTATGGAAATGACACTCTGCTGTTGAATCCGGCCCCACGATTTGCCTGAGCAAGGTCCCAGACGCTGTTCAGGAATTGGTGCTGCTCCAAGTGCCATTCCTATGGAAAGGTGCTCATATGCCTCCCTCTGATGGCTCTGAGAGGCCTGTTCTCCACCAGCTCTGCTTACCCTGGCCCTCTGGACCCATGGTAGTAGCTATGTGGCAGACTGGGTTGGCTGAGCCCAGGGCAACATCTCATGTAGAATGATGATCTCAGGGTATGAAGGCAATGCTGTACATTACATTATATAGAGGCTCCTTAGGGAGACAAAGCCTCCTTCCTCTTCAACAAGACAATCCTATGTCTGGCGACACCACTCTGGCTACCTCTTCTTCATGTGTGATCTCATGTGTGCAGCGATTGAACCAGCTATTTCTGCTGCCTTCTTGTTTTGGCCAAAGTAATCGATGAACTCTCCATCGGGTCCAATCAAGTACATTATTATTGTATGATCAACCTGTAAAGAGGAGGAGAAGCATGTGTGAAAAAGGATTACCAACTTATGTTACTGAAGAGAAATATGCTGCAGGGTAAGAGACATTAACATCAGTGCTTAAACAACCACTGCAGCATCCTCTCAGGGAGGCCCTGCCTACCGAATGGGCCTGTGCTGACTGCAACACACTCCCAGCCAGGGGTCATCTGAAACCTCAGGTTCCTGAACTCTGCCACGGTTGCTGCTGTGGGTCAGCTTAGGATCCTTTGGTACAGTTCTTCATATACTCACCTGTACATTCACCTTCTATCAGCCTTCATAAATACACTACGCTGTGGAACAGCAGCGCTGTTATCAAACACCGTGCACTTCTTATTGGGTGTATCTCATCTGACCCCTTCTGCATTCATACAGAGCTATCACATGGGAGTCAGAGCCGTGGTCAGAACCACTTTGAGTAGTTCGGAACTCAGCAAGTGCCTGGGTGTGCATCCTCATGCTTAAGGAAGAACTGCTTAAACTCTGCTTGCCATGCTTTATGAGAAGCCAGAAAACCAACCACTAGCTGAAGCATGTAATTTACAAATCCTAAGTGATTTAGTCCAGATACTAGTGATTCAAACCAAAACTGAAGATGTTTTTCTCCCTTGGGAAATTTGCATTTGCTAGTCTGACCTTCTTATCTGAAGCAGACTGCTTGGAAACCCCACTGGCCACAAATGCTGCTCTCTAGGAGGCTCTTCAATTTCCTTGACTATGCTCTTAAAATGTCTCAGTTCCAATTTAAGTATCGACTGGTCATCACTCTTTTTAGATATTCATTTCCACAATATTTAAGAGTAGACCTGGCATCCTAAGTCCTTGGAATTTGTTGCAGGCTTGTTTGGCAGACAGGAGAAGATAGGAATGCCATCACACACACCAACTGGAAACTCCCCAGAATATACCCCAGCCCACATTATCTGGCCGTGAGGCTATTGGCTTTTTATACACACACATTCATAAGGAGATAGCAAATGGAAAGAGCCACTTGCCTCCATCAGGAAAGAATGCCACCAAGAGCTCAGACAGCTGGTGACTTCATGTGGAGAAGTGACTGCAGGAGCCAGGCAGGACCAGGAATCTCGCCTCACATTTGACTCATATTAAAACTCTGGCTCTCCCCTCAAGCCTTTCTCTGCAGCTTATACCCCTCTTTCCTTCACCGTTTCCTTTAGAGAATTAATTTTTTGACAATTTCATATACACATATAATATCCACTGCCCCCCTCCACACACACTTGGCCTTTTTCTCTATTTACTTTCCTTCTTAAAAGACCAGAACTGAAGTATGCTGGACTTATTTTTGAGGGTTAATATAAATTAGCAACTAGTATACAGTAAAATACATTCTTCTGTCCTTGTCAAACTTACTAGTGGTCACTTTTCCATTATTGTTGGGGCAAATCAACACTTGCTGTGATAGAGAATTTGTCGAATTTTGGTAGTTGGTAGTATAGAAAAACAAAACAAGCAACTACACACCCTTTCTTCCTTGTGTGTGTGGTCTATGTGTATATGTGTGTTGAGTATGCATCCCCCACCCCCACACAGAGGCCAGAGGATGACGTTGGGTGGCCTCCTTTGTTACCCTAAGCCAGATTCCCTGGAAACAAGGTCTCTCACTAAACCCAGAGCTAGGTTAGTAGCATCAGGCTCCAGCAAACATCCTGTTACCACCCCTAATAGTGCTGGAGTCTCAGGAGTGCATGGCCAACAATGCTGTAAGATTCACCTGTGAGCTAATTTCCAAGGAGCACCCATGTGGTAACAGCAGTTTTTACATACTTCCACAGGACCCGCTGAAGAGGGCCTACTAGATTCATTCCTAACAACAATGCCTGGAAACACCTGTTGTCTGAAGTTCACTCCAACAACCCATTTCTTATTTTTCCAATTCTAACAAAAGATTTCCAAACTTTCCAATCACAGCTAAACTGACAGGTTTTTAAAAAGGTACACCACTAAATAATCTTTGGTTATGAATTTGTCTTAGCTTAAATTTAAAAAGCCACTTATATTCTTCCTGAACTATTTTCTAACATTTATATATAATAAAGTCATATTATGTGTATAATAAGTACATATATAATAATGTGCAAAATAGCTTTGTAGTGAATCCTGTTTAGTATGCTCAATTTATATTCACTGTCTAAAGATTCTACTTTCATCTCCATTGTCTGAGATTGTAAAAATAGCATTCCATTACATCTCAAGGTTTATCTCTAAGCACTGCCCCTTACTGGTCCTTAATCCTAACATATTTCGCCTCAAGACATAAGGAGTCACACTAACGAAAAACTCTAAGAAGCTGGAAGTGTCTCCCCCTGTTGGCTGATTGAGCAAATGCACAGCAATAAAAAACAGGCTACAGGCTCAAAAGTGCTAGAGAGGGGCGGAAGGATTGCCCTAGTGTGCCGGTGCCGGTGCCGGTGCTCAGGGTGAAAGCAAGAGTTCAATCACCTGCACCCATGTAAAAGCCGAGTATGGCCACAGACGCTTGTATGTGCAGTACAGGGGAGCGGAGACAGGCAGATTCTGGGAGCTCATTTATCAGCCATCCTAGCCAGCACGTGTAAAAACACACACACACACACACACACACACACACACACACACACACACACACAGAGAGAGAGAGAGAGAGAGAGAAAGAGAGAGAAAGGTACAAACTACACACTACAGTGGGCAGTAGAGACAAACATTGCTGTAGGGACAGCGTCAGGAAACTGGTATCAGTGACTCAGACATTCTGCAGATAAAATGAAAATTTATGATAATCACTTCACTCAACTAACATAGAAAAAACACAGTATGACAACTGAAAGAAAATCTGTTAACAATACTATAGCAGCATGTCAACTCTGAATGTGCTGGGAAACAAGAACCTGGTTGAGAAGAAAAGTCAGCCCTTTGCACACCATGAAACACAAAGCAGAAGTGGGTTTAGTTGCTCAGGACTTCACAGACAAACTAACAAGAAAACAGATCCTCAATGAAGGACCCACAAAGGTAAACTGGACAGATGTCCCATCTCTCATTACTGAACCCCAAGTTGAACGGAACTGTCACAGCCACTAAAACCTGTAGATAATCTGTTATTTGAAGACTCTTATTTTTTCTCTTATCTTTCAATGATATAATGATTCCCCGAGGCTTACAACTACTTCTAAAAAGGAGTATTTTTTCTTCTACTTCATCAGGGACACAGGGAGAACCAGCACAATGCTGATGAACTAAAACTGTACTAGCATGGATTCAATGTGGTGCTCCTCTGAATCCAACATGGTGCCTGAGTATTTGCTTTTGTAATTGTATTCAACTAGGGAAGTCAGACAAACTATGGGATGAATATAAACTAAGCAATGAACAACCACCTCTCAAAAACATGTGCCTATCAGATTTTCAAATTATCCTAAATTCTTGAGGAATTTATAATACCCTCAGTTTTCTTTTTAAAAGAGATTTTTGGTTTATGTATTTGAGTATTTGCCTACACGAATGTATGTGTTCAATGTGTGTGCCTAGTGCTGTGGAATCCAGAAGAGGACACTGGATCCCCTGGAACTAGATTTACACCAACTGTGAGCCACAGTGTGGGTACTGGGAACTGAAACAAGGTTCTCTGAAGTGCTTTAAATCACTGAACCGTCCTTTCAGTCTCTCGGGTTTTCCTTTATCTCAGAAGCCAGTCAGGCATGTAAAGTGTGAGAACCTGGAATCCAAGGCCAGGGTACTTACTATGTAGTCCTCATCTTCATCCTTAGGGCCAGGGCTGTAATAGACCCTGTATGCTCTGGCCACTCCATCAATGTCTTCTTTTGTGCCAGTCAAACCAACCAATTTGGGCGAAAATTCTAAATATAAAAACAAGAACACAGTGAAAATGAAAGACAAGAAACATAACCATCTTTACTTAAAATAAAACTAAAATAACAAAAACATGCATAAAAAAACCCAATAAATAAAAAACACTATAAAGCAGCTTTGGTGCCACTTTGTTCCTGAGTCTACAACCATTTCTGCATGATTTAAAAATAAAAAAAATAACCTCAGAGAAGAAATGAAAATTCTCCCATGACATACGTTGGATCTTTTAATGATTATAATATAAAGATTTGGGAGAGATATATTCTAGTTACTTAATTATGTTAATTTAGCTATAGCCATATGCAGTTGAGGATTCCTCAAGTACCTCAGGTTTTTCAATGCATCATATGGGAAGAAACTTCATTCAAGAGGCTAGTAAGATGGCTTAGTGGTTATGAGAGGCTTGTGTGGTGGTCTGAAAGAAAATGGTCCCCAAAGGGAGTGGCACTATTAGGAGGTGTGACCTTGATGGAGTAGGTGTGGTCTTGTTGGAGGAAGCATGTTACTGTGGAGGTGGTCTTTGAGGTCTCATATATGTTCAAGATACCGCCTGGTTTTTCAGACCACTTCCTGTTGCCTGTGAGTCAAGATATAAGGACTCTCAGCTCCTGCTCCAGCACCATGATAATAATGGACTAAACCTCTGAAACTGTAACCCACCTAATTAATTAAATATTTTTCCTTATAAGAGTTGTTGTGGCCATGGTGTCTCTTCACAGCAATAGAAACCCTAAGACAACTTGGGAGGACTCAGTCTGAAATGGAACGTCTTCATTGATCCCACTCTCCTCAAGGCTCAGGATCCACATGGAAGAGGAGGTGGAAAGACTTGAAGAGACAGAAGGAATGGACGACTTCAAGAAAACAGTGTCTTCCAAAGATAACAGGCCTGACACTGACTGACACACACACACACACACACACACACACACACACACACACAAATTCAGATTATGACAACATGCCCAGGCCGTGCCCATGTTCAAACTGGATGAAACCTGAGAACTGAGAAGGGAAAGTGCACACAAGTCCTACCCCTAGTCCAGACACTATCTGTAACCGAAAATGGTTGAGAGAAGGAAAATCAGTTTTCCAGTGAAGTGTTAATGGGAACATCAAAAACACTCCAGGGTGGGCCCCATGCTCAGTAGTCGTCAGCCAACACAAAATGGACTCCATGTTCTTTTTGTGAACTTTTGTTTCACTGTTTGAACATTTTTTTGTCTTCTTGGTTTTTTTTTTTTTCCTATTTTGATTTTTTTTAAATTAATTTTTTGTTTTTGAGGTGGAGGAAGAACATGAAGTTGTAGTTGGGTGGAGAACATAATCAAAACAGACTGCATGAAATTTCTTTTTTTTTTTTTTTTTGAGAATGTTGAGACAGGGACTCTCTATGTAGCCCTGGCTATCTTAGAACTCTATGTGGACAAGGCTAGTCTCTCTTAGCTCCCCAGTGCTGGGATTAAAGGTGTGCACCACCATGTCTAGTGGGAAAATAAATTAACAACAACAAAAGACAGCCAATAAGAAAATTCATACAAAACCAAAACACTCATGGCTATGGGTAAATCAGCCATAGAATGTATGTACTATTATATTTTTTAGAATTTATGTAATTTTGGAAGTCTCTTAAAACAATTGAATTAAAGCAAGGAATGGTGGCAGACACTTTTAATCCCAGCACTCCAGAGGCAGAGGCAGGTGGGTTTCCGTGAGTTCAAGGTAGCCAATCTATGGTAATTTTCAGGGCAGTCAATGGTATAATTAAACCCAGTCTAAATATATATAATAACCTCCCCCTGTACACACTCCTGAGGCATGTCTCTCCATTTTAACAAAAGGACGGTGAGACACAGAGCTGGAAGCAATACACTCTCATCCCCACCTAACTCAGTTATTCATGAAGCTCAAGCTCCAACCCTTCTTGTGATAAAAGAGCACAGCACCAAGAATGGATAAACTGCTTCTCTTGTGTCAATTAAACCAAGCTACAACTCTGACCTCCATTGTTTTATTTGCCTTAAAACTGTTAATAATATCACTTGTCTATTTTGGTTTGCTACTGCAAACCGTTAAGTAAGTATGTGCAATTATCAGTAAAACACACCTTTCACGTAAGTTGAGATGGCTTCTTTTGTGTCCCTTTCTGGATCAATGGTGATGAAAAGTGGAGTTAAATTTGGCAGGGACGGAATACTGTCTGAAAAAAAGTTCCAATTAGTCAACACTCACCACAAGGGAAAAGACACAACATTCGGAGAAAGTGTTGCTATAGCGAAAAGTCATGGGAACACAGAGGACAGGTTAGACTATCTGGAGTAGAGGAGTAGTTTCTGTCTGTGGTGGAGCCGGACAGACATCCCATCAAACACCTCTCCTCATACATAAATGCTGTTACCCCAGATCACTTCTCGTAGCCATCTTATTTCCTAACGCAATCCTACTCCTGTAGTTTTTCCTACCCTATCTCAAGGACAAGGTAAGCTATCAATAAAGAATGAATTTACCAAAACAATTTAAAGAGGCACGATTCCTTCTAATTCCTTTTAATTGACACTAATAAAATATCACTTATCACTTCAGATTTCCTAATCCAACCGTCAATGTCACTGGGGAAACACAATGAGAATGCTTCAGTAATAGGAGATAGAGGCATGCTGACATTTTTAAGTGATCTAACACTTGGCACCCAACACGACTCCTTCGGTACAGAGCAGGGTCCTGCAATCAGAGCATCAAGCTGAACAAGGAAACTTTACGTTCTTTCAGACCAATAATGACAACACCCTGTCTAACACAGTGAGAAACAGAACTGTTAAATAGTGCAGTTAGCAACTGCTTTCTTACCTATTTCATCTACAACTTGAATCATTTTCTCTAGTTCTTCCGGACAGATATCAGGGCAATGGGTGAAGCCAAAATAAATCAACACCCAGTGGCCCAGGTAGTCCTTGTCAGTTTTGGGCTCTCCATCATGAGTGATGAGGGAAAATGGTCCCCCTAGTAAAGGCTTTCCAACCGCGCGGTGTCGCTGCTGCTCCAGCTCTTAAAGAGATGCACCAAACAGAAAAGTCACTGAAATGTCTGACAGTTAGCATAATACTAGTAACAGTATGTAGGTGGAGTGGGAGGTATAAAATACACAAGAAATATCAGCTTTCAAGACACTAACAAAAATGTTTTCAGAAAAATAAGCATTTAATAAGAAAATTAAATGCTGTAACACATGGCAAGCACTGCAATGAAAAGGTAAAACGTGTTCTCCTAGAACAAGCCAGTCCTAATCTGTTCAGAGTGGGGGTGAAGGAGCCTAGAGGCCGGGTGTGCTAGAAACAGCTTCATAGGAAAGGCAGTGGTGATGGGACCTTATTTTCATGCAGAAGATTAATTAAATAAACAAACCAAACAAACAGGGATAAGAGTGTTACTAATGGGAAGGACACCAGAACGATGGAGGGAAAACTGGAATGATCTCTGTAATATTAAGACAATCAGGCACTGAAGTGAGTTTATGGTTTCATTACATAGGGATTCTCCAACTGATGGAAAAGTTATTTTTGTTGTTGAGAAGTGTTGAAATAAGGTGAAAAAATTAAGTACAAGAAGAGCCAGTGACAGAAGGGAAAACCCAAAGACTCCTGAAAACAGGATCCTGTGAACAACAAGCTCTGTTCCTGTTTCATCTCTGATGCTGGGATAAAGCATCTTGTCAAAAAAAACCTCAGGGCCAGGCAGTGGTGGAGCCCACTTTTAATTCCAGCACCCACGAGGCAGAGGCAGGCGGATCTCTGTGAGTTTGAGGCCAGCCTGGTCTATAAAGCAAGTTCTAGGACAGCCAGAGCTACATAGTGAGACCCTGTCTCAAAAACAAAACAAAAAAACCAAACAAACAAAAAAGAAACTCAGATGAGAAAGGGTTTATTTTATCTAACAATTTCTGGAAATAGTAGGAAAGTCCTAGTGGGAGGAGCTTGCAGCAGCTAGTCATATCACACCCAGCTCAGACAAGAGAGAAATAAACTATGTATGCATAGTATTTAGCTAGCTTCCTCTATTCTTATAAAAAAGTACAGGCCCAAACCAGGAAATGGGGCTACCTTCCACTTACAGGCTGGGTGTTTCCAAGTCAATTAGGGCCAAGACAATCCCCATGGTCATGTATGTCTATAGGCCAACCTGATCTAGATGACCCCTTACGGTGGACTCTTCCCAAGTGATTCCAGGTTGTGTCAAGTTGACAATGAAAACCAACAACCAAACAAAACAACTAAGCATAAGCTCACGCGAGTTACTTTGAGTATTAAAAGAAAGAGAATAGCTCACAACCCACTGAATACATAGCAAATGATTAGTCTATACTAACAAAAATAAATGAATAAATTCAGAGTGATGAGAACAGCACACACAGACACATATCATAAAACACATAATTTATACAAGGCTGACATTGTCTTAGATGATCCAATATCATCAATGACAAGACAAAGAAAAATCATAATGTACTTGATGGATGCAATGACTGGTGTAGTATCACTTCTGTGAGAACCCTGTCAAAGGCTGCAAGGCCTGAACTGGATCACCAGGAAAGATCAGATCAGTACAGACTGACAAACAATTCTCAAAGTTGTCAAGGTTAGGAAAGTCAGGGAAAGCCTAAGAACCTTACAATCTTCAGAAACTAAAGAGACAACCAGGAACATTTGGACATCTTAGTCATCTTTGTACCCACCCTCTGGACTTCTAACAGCCCACATTCAACATATTTACAGCTGTCTTTTGTACCCTCCCTCTGGACTTCTAACAGCCCACATTCAACATATTACAGCTGAGTCATTTTGGATTCCATCCCTGAAAAGTTAAAGACACTGAGAAAATGTGCAAAACCCAATTACATGCTGTAATCCAGTTAATTACATCAATTTTAATTTCTTAGTTGTGCCATGACCTTCTAAGATGTCAACACTGGGAGAGGGGTTGGATGAAAGGTATATGGAGACTTTTCTTTGCCATCTTCACAACTCTTCTAAACTAGTAAATCTAAAATTATTTTTAAAGAAAAAGTTTAAAAACAGGGCAGGCCAACAGCTTGGTAGATTAAAGTGCTGGCTCTAAAAGCCTGACCAGTTAGGCTCTGTCCCAGGAACCCACCATGGAAGGCAAGAATACACTAGAACCAACTCCCCAAAGGTGTCTTCTGGTTCCCACCAGGACATTCATGTACCTGCAGTCACATACGCACAGTTAAAAATAAATAAGTAAAAAAGTTTTGAAACAAAAAAGGTCAAAGAGTAAGCACTTACTTTCTATCTTTTCTTTCTTGAAGTACTTCATTCCAGCCAGTAAAGATCCTCCAATGGCAAAAGTCAATGCTAAAGACTTCCAAGAAACGGGCTACTGGGGCAGAGATTTCAACAATAAAACAAGTAAGATGCAAACATTTAAACATGCTGTATTTATTACTTAAGTTCTCACAGCAAGTATATACACACAAACCATTGTTACATACATTGAATGTTTCAGGTTACTTTGGGATAAATCCTGAAAGTTTCTGTGAATACAGTTATATCTACTACAAAAGCACTAGTTTCCAGGGGAAAGTTACCCAAGTTCATTTAAAAACAAATTAAGGGTCGAAGATGGGGCTCAATTAATTGGCAGCGTGCTTGCTGGGCATGTCCCAAACCCCCGGGTTCCATGACAAGCACTGCATAAAACCGGGTGTGGCGAAGCACACCTGTAATCTTAGCACTCTGGGAGGGGAAGGCAGGAGGATCAAGCTCAGAGTCATTCTTGGTTACATATCAAGTTCTAGGCCAACCTGAGATATAAGAGGCCTGCTCTCAACAAACAGCACAAAGCCTGTAATTCATCGGCTTATGCTAATACTGTACTCTTTAAGACGTAAACTGTTTGCTACTTGTGCCTGATTTCCCCCGCTCCCCAAATCCACATTTCTTACTAACACAAGCAAGGTGGAGGCTCTGAATGAAACCGAAATAGAACCAGAGGAAGATAAAAAGGAACAGAGGAGGAAGAGAGAAAAGGAAGGGGTAGGGGATACCCAAACGCAACAATGGTCCACATTTTTGTTCCAATTTCAAGTTATACACTGAACCGGGGGATTCAGTGAAATTATAAAAGTGCTCTGACTTTTGAATCATGGTAAAGTTGAGATCCTTAAAACCCAGAATTTATTTATTTTTTTCTGGAGCAAAAGCCCGAGTTGTAACTGCGCGGAGAGGGAGTAGATTCTCAAGTTCTATCGAGGCTGGGACTACGGGCTGACCAGGGAGCAAGGAAGCGACTCCATAACCTTTCAGGGCACGCCAGGAAGTTCCTGAGGTTGTGACCTAGCGGAATGCGGAGATACCAAGCTGCAGAGAGGGCCGAGCACCAAAGGCTCGACTCACCCCGGGCTTCGAGCGGCGACCGCCCTTGGGCTGGGGTCCGTCGGCTCCCGGCGGTGGCGGCACGGAGCTGAAGACTCGGATCCCCAGGCAGCAACGTGCCTCTCCCGGCCGCGGAATCCCTGCCGTACCCCAAAGCCCATGGCCGTGGGAGAACAGAAGCCAAAGCTGGCGACACGGCGGCCGCATCACCGAACAAGGCGCCCGCACCAAGGCCGCCATGAGTTTAGGAGACCCGGCCTCTTTGGGGCCGCCCCTCCATTTCCGCCGGAGCTTCCGCTTCCGTCGGAAGCCGGGAAGGCGGGCGAGGCCGCTCTAGCCTCAGGGCTCGGTGGTGACGCCGTTTACCCCGCGGGTTGTCAAGGAGTCCAGGGTTGTGCGGCTGCAAGCGGTAGGTGGTTCTCCGGGATGGAAACGGGTGGTGCGGGCTGTAGGTCCCCGCCTTGGGGTTCTGAGCTGGGCCTGGCGGCATCGCGCGGGTAGGACGATGGGACTAGGTGGTCCCCGGGTCAGCCCGGTTAGCGGGGTTCGCTCCTTCCAGCTGCAGGAGACTGGGGATCCCCTCCTCCTGCACAATCTAAAAACCGGCCAGGTAGAGCTGCGAGGTCTCGGACCCTAAAACAGAAGTCGTCGCATGACGTTTGGAATAATCCACGACCTAGAAAAAAAAAATACTAATATGACTTTTGAGTGTCTAGGGTGAGAAGACTTAAGACCAAAGTGCCGGCGCTTCTAACTACAAGCCGCCTGAGAGCAAGGCACTGCAAAAGTGTGTGCTGCGTCATACCCATCCTTCATTTAGTCTGCAGTGGCTCGTTTCTTTAAAAAAAAAAAAAAAAGTCTCACACCCATTCACCCCTGATTTTAGTTTGTTGAAGGTTTCTGTTGTAGAATATTGTTTTGAGGTCATTACTTTTGTTTACGTTGCATTTGTTTAACTCTGTGAAGCTGTGTTACTTTTCATGGCTAAAGTACCTGGTGGTCTAATAAAAGAGCTGAACAGCCAATAGCAAGGCAGGGCAAAGGATAGGTGGGGCTGGCAGGCAGAATGTATAGAAGGAGAACTCTGGGAAGAGAGGAAGATGTAGCCAAAGAAGGAGGAGGACATCAGGGGCCAGACACCCAGCTACACAGCCAGCCACGGAGTGAGAGTGAACGTAAAATTACAGAAATAAGAAAAGAAAAAAGTCCAGAGGCAAAAGGTAGAAGGGATGTCTTAAGTTAAGAAAAACTGGCAAGAAACAAGCTAAGCTAAGGCCAGCCATTTATAAGTAAGAATAAGCCCTGTGTGTGTGATTTATCTGGGAGCTGGGTGGTGGGCCTCCAAAGAGCAAAGAGTAAAGAGCAAAGACAACAGGTTACCTCGTCTGGGACTGCTTGGTTAGTTGACTACAGCCACACACTTATTTTTAGTTCCTTGAAAAATTTTAACTTTTATTCTGTTCATTTGCTTATTATTTGCTGAGCACCTGCTGGGCAAATGATCCCCAGCTTGTTACCTGCTCTTGCTTATGTCTCAGTGTCAGCAAACTTTACCCCTCCCTCCCCACTCTGCCTCAGTGGTGGTGTGTCAGTTTGTAAAACACCGGTACCCTTTAAGTAAAGCACTCTCCCCTGCAAGGGGATCCCAGCATTGCTTCAGTGACTGTTGCACTGGTGCATGATACTGTTTTCTCAGAGCATGATACTGTTTTCCCAGAGTATGATACTGTTTTCTCAGTGTTTGGACCGTCTGACCTACTGTGTTGCTCTCTAACCCAATAATTACTGTTGTTGTTTAATGGTATTGTTTCTTCTCAAATTGATTTGGAAACTTCTGAAATTTAAGCCCAAAGTAAGTAGAATTTTTTTTTAAATAAAGCATTGTTGAAATTTATGAAGAGATTTTTAACACACATTTTAAAAACAGGGGTTAATAGAAAGGAAGAGAGTATACACCTAAAAGCATGAATGTGGGCCTCTCAGGAGAGTCACACTTAGTTGTCTTTATATGATTTGGATGGCTTCTGAAGGTATATCTCAAGAGATTGTCAAACAACTTTTTCCTTTTATTTTCATTTTTTTCTGGGAAATGAGATTATAGACTGGCCCCTGGAGTGCACTAGATAGGATTACTCAGGGGCCTTGGGGCATGTTTAGTGCAAATAAAGTTTATAGTCTTGTTTGTAAAATTTCCAGAAACCTGTAGCTTTATATCTGCGAAAGGAGCAGGACCATACTCCAAGGTGATATGTGCTTAGGCCTTAAGCATAGTTCATTGCTGTTTCAACATTCTTACTTGAAATCTCTATGTAAAGGGAATACCTTTTCTTTGTAGGCAACGTCACAGCAAACATTATTAATTGTGGGAAAATCTTGACTCTCAGCTGGCAAGAGACTCCATCCAGATTCCTTTTCATGTCTCCTACCTCACTTCCCTTCTGAGACTTTGATCCCTTAATTTTAAGTGTTGATGGTGGTTGTAGATATGTTTCCTATAACTTATTTGCTGAACAGGGATATATACCCTGCCTATCCAGCCATCAACTGTCTCAAGCTGCTTATCAATATAGGATGTGAGAGAATCTGAGCATGGAGATTACAAGATCATCATTCCATGGGAATGTAGATGAGAGGATGCCATTACTCACCACAACAAACCACATAAACAATAAAGCATACAGTAGATTGTTACACCTGGTCCTAAGATTAGTACCAAAGTTACCAGCCTTTTAATCACATGGTAGATGAGACCTGTGATGTTAATGAATCGTTAAAACTTACCACAGAACTCTACAGTGATTTAATTGTGGTGTGTAAATCTTGGAGGATTTAGGATACAGATACCGATTGTCAGGTGTATATACCCAGCACTTTAATGGTGGCACAGGTTCTCCTTGTGCTATTGACAGACTATCAGGGGACATCCGTGCGACTGTCCTTATTTGAACTTTGGATTTAGGATTGGAAGAAGTATACACCTCATTATATACTGAGAGTATGGGAAAATACAAAGAACAACTCCAAGAAGAATTGTTGGCTTGTTTTTAAATAAGATTTCAAATCTTGTGTGTACATATGAGTGCAGGTGCCCAGGGAGGCCAGAAGTGACAGATCCCCTGGAGTTTGAGCTGCAGGTGGTTGTGAGCCACCTGATATGGGTGCTGGGAACTGAACTCCGATCCTCTGCAAGAACAGTCTGCACTCTTTAAGTTTTGAGCCATTGCACTAGCTTGTGGATTTTTTTTTTTTTAAGATGTATTTTACGTGGATGTGCCTGCATGTGTGGTGCCCTCAGATACCAGAAGAGGGCTTTGGATCCTTCAGAGGCAGAGTTGCAGCTAGTTGTGAGCCATCCAGTATGGATGCTGGGATCTGAACTCTTGTTTCTCAGGAACAAGCAGCAAACACACTAAACTACTGAGTCATCTCTCCAGCCCCCGAGAAAGATTTTAATGATTAAGTATCTTTAAAAAAAAAAAAGGCAATGATGTAAAGTTGTAGCCATTGAGTATGTATTATACCTACAGCACCTAAAGGAAAAACAGTGAAGAAGCCACAACACAAAGTAGGTAAGGTTCCAGTTACTGATAGATCTTTAAAATGAGGCTTAGCTTTGTTTTTTAAGAAGGTAAGGACTTTTCTCTCTTGTCTGAAAAGAGCTTTCAGGTCTTCTCATGGTTTGCAGGTACAAGAGATCTTAGCGTGGGGTGCTCTTGAAGCAACAGTACATCAGGGACTGTCCCTTTGTGGCTGCCAGGAAAGATGGCAGCTCCAGTGGGGCAGGAGCAGGAAGCCCAGCGGCTGCTGCTGCTTCCTGTAGCAGTCTCGGGCCCTCTCTTCAGAGTCCCCGCTCTGGTGAATCTAGGGTTCTCAGCTGCAGAGGAGTTTCAGGATGAATCAGAATGATGCATATTTGGAGTTGTATTGCGAGGTTTTAGAGATTTAAGCATGAGAGCTAACAGGAAAGAGGTGCTTAGAAGAAGGGGAGCCACAGGAGCATGGGCATGGGCTTCTTAAGAGAGTAGCTGGGAGAGTTCTTCAATTTCTGCTCAGCATGTTGGGTCATTGTCAGTCGGAACTCATTTTTTCCTCCTGAAGATGACTCAGTGAAAGGTTTGGAATCCCCTTCTGTAGCCACACGTTTTTGCCCAGGGCAAAGTCTCAGCTCTATACTCAGCTGTAGGGTATGTGATCAAACTTACATACAAATTAACGTTGTATTTGATGTTGTGTTTGATTAAGTCCATTAAATTCTATTAGCCAGGAATTTTACTACTGCCTATACTCTCCAATTTATTTGTTTACCAAAGTGTCTTTATCTATTGGATAAGATACCGCATTTTAATTGTAACCAACTGTTGAGTGAGTCACTGGTAATACCTCTAAGCCAGACTCCATAGAGCCCTGGCAAAGGAAACATGTTGTATAGTGTAAATCTGGAACTTGTATTGTTAAAAGAAGCCACCACGGTATCAGATGGGTTTGCTTACAGTTTAGGAACTTCTCTTGAGAGAGACAGGAAATGCATAGTACAATGTGATGCTTATTTTATCATTAGTTGATGAGGCTACTTAAATTGTTGCTGGATTTGACTTTAGGCTGCTTTAAGTGGGATGGGCTAAACTGGAAGTTTTCAAAGCAGGCACTGTAACATGCCTGCTTCATCACAGGTCCAGACTCTTGTGCCTAGTCACAAGCATGCCCTGCCCTGCACTTCCTCTTATTGAGACTAACATTGTGAAATACTTTTCTCTGAGTGTATGTTTGTGTGTGTGTGTGTCGGGGGGGGGGTG